GGCCTTAGCTCGCAACACCCACGATATGCCAGATACAAAGTTCAGAGGTCTTGTGGAGTCCATTGCTCGACGCATCAGAACTGCTTTGGCAGCTCAGGGGGGACTTACACAATATTAGATTGGTGGTTTTAATGTTGTGGCTGATCAGTGTATTCACTAAAGTGAGAATTTAACAAAGCTGTGTTCCTGGCACTATCACTCTCTCTGGCTCCCTGCTCCCTGCTCCCCCACACCACTCCTCCCCAGTAAATAAAGATTTAAAAACCCTCTATTTACTTACCTAATCCCAGTGCCGATGTCCCTCGGTGCTGTGTCGACGCTCCGCCCCCACCAACATCCCACGACAAACAGGCTCTAATGCAGCACGTTTATTAGACCTTCCATTAGGAAAGTATTGAATCAATGCTTTCTTATGAGGAAAAATCTGATGCTGGTCATCCTCATACAGAGCAAAGAGAGGGACAAATAGACATACAGAGGGACTGGGGGGACAAAGAGGCACACAGTGCAATAGATACAGAAGGGGGGACAAAAGATACAGAAGGCTGGGGGGACAAACAGACACACAGTGGGGATGGGGCGACAAACAGACACAGATGGGCTGGGGAGATATAGTATTTTCAAGTGTTATACTTTAAAATAAATTCTACAAATCTATTTTTAAAAATTTAAGTTGGTACGTTTTCTTTGGGGGGGAAGGGATGCATGTAGCTTGTCTTGTCTAGGGTGCAAAATAGTTTAGTACAGGCCATGCTTGAGGCTTTCCGACTTACATCAAGGAAGGTGTGACATAGGTGTTTTACAAAAGTGCTAAGAATGGTTTGACTTTTTATCTGGAATCTGCCAGGCACTGTTCCCCACCTCCACTACTTCATGGGTATGTAGATCTCCAGATGCTTTTAAGCTATATTTTCCTTGACTTTATTGTACTGCATAATGTGTCTAAGCAGGTCATAATGTGCCAAAGTAGGATTTGGTTAAAAGCTGGGATATTTTTAGACTACATATGTTCTAGGTTACAAGAGAATTGTGTGCTAAACATAAATAAATACATATCCAGAGAATAATGTGGGTGAAAACACTGTTAATGAGAGGTCAGAGGTGAGGAATGTGACTCAATCAAGTTGATGAATAGGCCATATATACTCAAATAATAGTCTTAATAACAGTCATTTAATGAAGGGAATCCATAAATTTGCAATAGTTCTAATCATTGAGCCACAGTGGAAGGACACTCTAGTTCCCACTTCTTCCATCTAAAAACAGGAGGATAAGGTTGGATTGGTAACCGATGATCAAAATTGCTAGACTAAAGAATGGAAAAATATTGGCTGGCCAGCAACATTGCATTCCACTAATTAATACCCAATCAAGATCATACCTACCATATTTGTAGTCACTGTTGTTGACTGCATGAATCATTTTATTTACATACACTATTCTTCCAGAGAGATAATACATGATAGTATAAAGTAGAAGTTATTCCAAGCTGGTTCAATAAAAATAACAGAGACTTGAGATAATTTGCACATTTCCCTTAAGTGTCAGTCCAATAGAGCACCAGTGAGTGCGCATCAACAGGAATAATCAACATTTCAACAATAAAATTAGTTGGCAGCTCTTGAAATGTTGTGTACACTATATATTCATTGCACATTCAGTAAATAAAACCTTGTAACAGCTGCATCAAATCACGTTATCAAAATCACAAAAGAATTGTACATCTAGTTATATTGTATGGTCATGCTTTGACCACTGCAATATTAAAGTGAAGCAGCTTTAGTGGGGGTTGAACCCTAATTTTATTGATGAAATGGAAAAACAATATGCCGAACACTAAATTGATATATGTACTATGACATACTAGATTTTTTTTCCAGACATTTTTAACCCCAACATGTGTGACATGTCATGATTCCCTTTTATTCCAGAAGTTTGGTCCTTAAGGGGTTAATGAGTGTACAGATTAAATATAAGCTGTTGATATTTTGAAACTGCCACTTAATTTCTATTGGTCAAATGCATTTTTTTTTGTTTTGTTTTGTTTTGTTGTAATTATATACAAGTGAAGGCATCAAAGTAAAATGTATATTTAAATATACAAGATAGCGGGTTAGCTTTTTTGGATCAGATCATGTATTTTTTGTTCTATATATCAAAAGGTCGTAAAATGGTATTGTATTTTCTATGTGCACCTTTTTAAGAAAATCGTTCGATTTTTATATAGCTTATTATGTAATGGGGACATTTTTCTGAAGTCTCTTAATGTATGGTCATCATTTTAGGTGTCATTCTTATGCAAGGAGAATATTATAAAATGCCAGTACATCTGCTGGGTTTAAAATATTCATGTGGCAGATTGCAAATTTGAACCATGAATGCTATATAAGTAAACAGTCTAATCTCAATAAATTGCTGACACTATTACAGAATTAGTTTCTTTATTCTGAGAGACTATAGTTTGGCAGTCATGTTTGGATGGTTTATGTATTGCAATTTGGGAGCTTACTTTCAGGAAAATATACCAGAATGATTCATGACACTCTCCCAAGAGGCATTTTAAATACAGATACATTTACTTTTACCAGGTTATACAACTGAAGGAAAAATCCCATCTTCTATTCCAAAAGCGTAGATGAGACTATATATCTCAATATTATGCCAGGCTTGTGAAATGCATCGTTGCTTCCTCATCTATTTAACATTAAATTGCATTTTTAGTTACAATGTATTTGTTGTCATTGTGGATGATGATTGTGAAATTTAGTTTGGCTTTTCTGAACTGGTAGAGCACACATGTATAAATTGGCAAATTATCCAGCAGCTGTATTGCTCAATAGGACATTTACAATCTAACTTGGGAGGGAAAAGTCATTCTTAAAGCATCAACAAAACAGAAAATCGCAATTCTATGCATACAATTCATCAGTATTTTGCATCCGACAGATTTTATTAACTGTATCTAACACTCAGACTGTTTGAGGCTGATCACAGTTTCGAGAAAAATAATTCTGTTGTTGACTTGACAAACACATAATTTTCAGAATAACATAATAAAAACATATTTATAATAATAGTACATATTAAATATAAGCTGTTGAAATTTAGAAAATGCTTCTTAATTACTATTTCCAAAATGCAGTTTTTTTCACAATAACATACAAGCGAAGACACTAAAGCAAAGTGTAAATTTAAATATACAAAGTTGTATTACCGAAAAAAACAACACATATATTCTGAGGACCAAAAATTATTCATCATGCAAAAAATCTTAGTCTTATAGTGAAGAATTGTGTGAAAGAAAAATGACTACTATACATTTGATAAAAAACAAACAATGGCAATTTGAGACATTATGATTTATGTGTATAACATTGTGACTAGTTAGTGTCCATGTTTTGCCTCAGGTTCATACCTGTACGTAAAATAGGTTTTGACGGGGGTTATCCCAGTCCCCACCAAGCAAGACCCTACTTACCACACCAGGGTGACCTCTATTTGCACAGTTACCTCATGGTCATTTCAAGATGGCTGACGCCAGTAAAGCTACGCAGCATGTTGAATCAGCCTCGGTCGGAGAATGGGAAGCTGCATTCAGGAGGAAGTTTGACAACATTTGCCAAAAGTTCTGGAAGAAAATAGAAGCACAAGAGAAGCAACCAATAACGCTCCTAGGCCTCAGGGCAGAGTTCTACCCCAGGGCCTCCCTCCCAGACAGGGAAACAAGAAGGTTCCATTGACCACACGACGTCCATGTACCAGGGAGACTGCTCACCAACCGAGATCTTGAGGCTTCAATCTAGTGAAAAGGAGAGAGGCCCATGGACTTTGGGCTCAGTTTGCCGCCACTGCCAGAGACTGGAGAGATGCAGCACTTTGTGGCACCCAGGGAGGCTCAAAGTACCCTGCACATCAATCTGTCCCTGACATGGAAGCTGCGGGCATCGGTTGATAAAAAGGCTTACAGGGATTTAAGCGCACTGTTAGAGCACTACCCATTATATTTTGCAGTTGTTTATATCTAGATGCAGCTTACTATTTTAAAGGCGCTTTCTTCCCATATACCTCTTTTTAGGCCACATCTGTAGTGGCATAATAGTCTTGCTCTGTTCTTCAGCACCTTGCTTGCGATCCAATAACATGTGTAGCAAATCTCAAAATTCTGATAATACAGTTTAGTGTCATGCTACTAGTCTTATGCTACTTGTTCTCAGTTATTATACACCATAAACAAAATAGATCTACATAGTTAGCTTGAATATGTTAGCTACTGTGTAATCTACTAATTATACATGCCTAGCAAAGTCTGTTATTTTTTATTTAATTTTTTTACATCCAGCCTGTTTCTTTAATGTCTAGAAGGACTTTAATTACTTATCAGCTTAATTCTTGTTTTTATGTAGACATGTAAATCTAGCCAGATTCACTTTTCTTACTCCTCATGACTAGACAACTCACTCAGCTTGCGAAATGTTGTGAAGACCGCCCTTGTAGGGATGTTAGTTTACCATGATGTTACCATTCTATCTAAAAATCTGCTGTGCTCTGCATGACTTTCTTTACGTTATTTAAAAATAAATTGTGCAGTTTCCTTATTATGATATATGCTGGAAACCTCTTTATTCAATGATCATTACACAAATGTGTAATTTTCATGATGGAACAATGCATGACAAAAAAAAAGAATAAAAAAAAAAAAAAAGAAAAAATAGGTTTTGACTACCCATGTATTCATTGCTGGATTTTTCAAAGAGTGCTTTTGCCCTGATTAATTGGTTGAAATTGATGTTCTTTTGAATAATGTTGGTTAGGTAGCTATGACTACTTACACAATGCATTTGATTTAAACATCAGAAGCTTCAGAAAAGCTTGTATGCTACCTCAAATTCATTTAAAAAAGGATATCTGTAAACGTGTAGTTGGAAACTTGAAAATAAAAGCCTTTCGATGGAACTTTTAACCATTTGCGTCTTTTCAGGAGACCGGAGCTGGTTCCTTACCGTCACTTGACGCTGGTTCCGGTCGTCTTTCTGCTCCTCGTGGCTCCCGTTCCAGCGTCCTCCGCACTGTCTCTGGTGGTGTCCCAGCTCCGGTCTCCTGTGGCTCTAAGCTGTCCGCCGTACGCTTGCTCTGCTTCCCGGTGCCGTAAATCATATTTACCCTGCTGTCGCGCCACGGTCGCACTCCATCGGCGTCCTCGCGGCATGGGTCCATCCCCTTCTCTATTCCGGGTGGTTGCTCCCGAACAGCTTTTGCAGTTCGGGAGTTTTCTTCTTATATACTTAGCTAACCTTCCTGTGGGTTCGGGCTCCTTTTCCCGCGAACGCTATCCGTTTCGCTTGCCGACCTTTTCTTTGCTGTCTGTGCTGTCTCCTCTCCTCGTGGTTTGGGCTTATGTGTGTCTGTCCGACCCCTGCTGGTGGTTTTTCATATTGCATTTTTTAATTTTCCTTCATTATCTGGGTTTCAAATAGTATTCAATTGTAACATTGCACGGATAAATGTGTACTGTTTTATTTTTCAGGTTTTTTTTTTCCTTTGTGTGTACTCTCTCACTTGGCTGCACTTTTGCCCTCCTTGCCTTGGGTGCTACTCCACCTCCTGGAAGGTACGTTCTCTGTGTTTTTTCTTTATTTATTTTTATTTCCCCCTGTCTGTCTCTGGGTCCACGCTCTGACCTGCACAGGCCCCGGGCGGCCATACACCAATATACGCTCTATTACCTATTTCCAGGCCCCCTCTGTACGGCCTGACCGCCTGGTCTGTCGTGTTTACTCCACTCTCCTGACTCAGTCCACGCCTGCGCTTTCTGCCTTGCACCGCCCCTTACGTTTTGTACGTTACACGTTTTCTCAGGTACGTCCTGTCTTGCATTTCTCTATCCCGCCTAGTCTAGATGTGGCTGGCTGTTAGGCTCATTAGGCGCCATATAGTGGTAATTCCTCCCTGGCTTCTTCGCCTTAGGTTAGTGGTCCCGCGAGGCCTACACCCATCCTCATACTCGGAGGTACTACGTCCCTCGGGCCAAATCATAGTTAGTCGCCTCGCATTGTAACATAGAGAGGGCCTCACCTGTCACTCCCATTCTATCTTATGTTTAACTGTCACGAGAGGCCAACACCCCGCCACAATGTTCGGTGGCCACGCTACTCCCCTCGCGCCAACGCATAGATAGCACCTCTCACGCCGCTTGGCAGCTAGCAGGGCCTCACCTGTCACCAACTTAGTTTAATTGTTTTGCCGCCTTGCGGTATTAGCTAGTCAGCCAGCTCACGTTGGACCTGCATTTTCGCCGGTCCTTTCTTGCTCTAATTTTTATCACTTTCTCTTTTTTAGAATGGATCAAGTGTCTGCTGACGGTGGCGAAGAGGTGTTCCTGCCTGGCACTCCGGCTAGGTCTGGCACCCCTTCTCGCAGGGGGAATTCGGCTACGTCTGCCTCCCTCAGATCTTGGTCTGTCCCTCGCCTCGCAGCAAAACTTCGGAGGCGTCAGATCCCGTTCCCCGCATCAGCTAGGAAGACCGAACTGTTTCGGCTGCTGCTTTCCTCCTCGGCCCACGCAGTCAATGAAGAGGACACTGGAGAAGGTCCTAGTGGTGCTGACTCCTCTGATGTGCGCTCCATGTTGTCCTCTCTCGTGGCATCCATGGGGCAGATCGCCCTGAGGTTGGACAGACTGGAGACTGCCTCTCGGGCCGAGTCATCAACCAGCCTTCCCGCTCCAGCTCCGGCTGACCCTCCCTCGGCTGGCCAGGGTAATTTGTAAGGTACCATTGATACCCCTCTGGATGTCGACCCTGCTCACATGGTCCCGGCCAAAATTCGGAAGGATATCTTGGACGGCAAGGATGTGAACTTGGTCTCGCTCCTTATTGCCTCTCAAGATATCGTTGAGAACAAGACTTATGCCTATGGGGATGTGTCAGTTGTAATCAAGGCTGGGACCCCAGGCTTAACAGGAAGCTCTCTGTCCCGGAGTTTGTCCTGGCTTTTGGGCTTTTCAGGGACGTCCTGTGCTCGGTTTACCCAGCTAGGAGGCAGGAGTTGGACCTTTATATTCATAAGCTGGTGGACTTTGGCCACAAGTACAGTGGTACGTCTTTTTATGACTACCACCAGTCTTTCTCCGCCAAAGTGTTTGCTGCTTTCACCCAGTTTGGTGCCTGGTTGAACTGGGGTAAGCTGGACACGTAATTGTTCTGCAGACACTTCGCGGGTCTGAGGACACCAGCTTGTGCCGTCTGCTCCTCCACATCTCACTCCATGAACCTCTGTTTTAATACGGCCGAGGCTTCCTCCGGCCTTGTTCCCTCCCCTTTCCCGCAGCTTGACAAGGTTGTCAAGGACAAACTGGGTCGCCCCATTCTCTTCCTGGGGAAGTCCCAGGTTTGTAATAATTTTAATGCTGGTACCTGTAGTTTTAGCGCCTGTAGGCTTCTGCATGTTTGTTCTAAATGCTTCCGGGCTCATGCGCTCACCATGTGCCCCAATAAATTGTTTCCCAAACCTTACTTGACCTTTGTTAACGTGTCTGCCTGGTCAGCCATGTTGTCCTCTCACCCATCCAGGCACATGGTTGATTTCTTGGTCTCTGGCTTTTCTGAGGGTGTCCATATAGGCATCATACATATGCCATCCGGTATCTTTGAGTGTAAGAACCTGCAATCGGCTCTTGCTCACCCTGAGGCGGTTGACTCTCTCATACAACCGCCTTTTACTGAATGGAGGACTAACCCTATTGGTATTGTGACCGGTAAGTCCTCCATGAAGCAGAGGTTGATAGTTTATCTCTCTGCCCCCCCCCCCCCCCCCCCATTCGGCAGCAATTCCTAGTTTAAATTCCTTAATTCCGTCTGAGGAATTTTTCACTGCAATATGCCACGATAGATAATGACATTTCAACCATCCTTTAAGCCGGGGTGGGTGCTTGGCTTAGTAAAACTGACATTGTCAGACCCAACGCTCTGGCACCTGCACGGTATTAAATGGAAGTGCCGATTACTTTTTCTCTCGGCTTACTTTCGGTTCCAAGAGTAGCCCGAAACTGTTTGACATCTTTGCTGAGACCCTGTGCTGGTTGCTCCTTAATGTTAATAGGTGTCCCGCAGTCCTCCACTACCTGGACAACTTCCTTATGATTGAGGAGAACAAGTCCCCCCCACGTAGTCTGAAGGAAGCCTCTGCCCTTTTCGAATTGTTGGGTGTTCCGTTGTCCGTGGACAAGATGGAAGGCCCGGACACCTTCATCACTTTCCTGGGTATTCAGCTTGATACGGTTGCCATGCAGGCCAGTCTACCCACGGACAAAATAGTTCACATACTCTCATGCATTGATGACTATATTCGCACTAGGTCTTGCTGCCGGAGGGAGCTACAATCTTTGCTAGGGTCATTAAATTTTGCTATGCAGATAATCCCACAGGGGTGGGCTTTTATATCTCGGCTGCTTTCCGTGTTTCCCTCTCTCCCAGATGGTGATAGCCGGATCACGCTCGATGACCAAGCCACGGCGGATCTGTTCATGTGGCGGAGGTTCTTGCTCTCCTGGAATGGGAAGAGTATGTTCCTTCCCGAAATTCCAGAGACATCACCCGCACTATGGACAGATGCAGCTGCCACTACTGGCTTCTCTGCCATTTATGGTTCTGAGTGGCTTTGGGGTGCCTGGCCAGTGGATGTCCTGGACATCGAGGGTTTTTCCACTACCTCCGCCCTATTTGAAATTTACCCCATTGTAGCGGCCGCTGTCATTTGGGGTCGGGTTGTTCGATTCGCTGTTTCTCGGACAACCAGGCCACATGCCACATCATTAATAAAGGGCATTCTTCCTCTCTCGTTATTATGAGGTTCCTCAGGAAATTGACATGGCTGGCGGCTTGTCACCATTTCTTTCTGACTTGTGTTCATGTACCAGGTGTCACAAATGTCGCTGCTGACGGGCTGTCTCAATTTCAATTTCAGGCCTTCCGTGCTGCTCTGCCTTCGGCCTCCCCCACTGCCACTGCTGCCCCTCCGTTTCAGGAGCTGATCATGGACTGACCGCTTTGTTGTCTCACGGCCGTCATCTTGCCCGATTGTCTTTGTCCACTAATACACGCAGGGCTTATGACAGGGCTTTCTCCTTGTTTAGGAAGTTTTTATTGGGATATGGTATTACTGATTCTTTTGCTATGTCGACTCTGGTAGTTTTGCTTCTTTTTGCCACCTTAAACTCGCACTCTCACATAGTACCATCAAATTGTACCTATCAGGTATACAACATCACATGTTGCTTTTATTCCCCTACAAACACAGCTTCATGTCTTCATACCAAATCAAATCTATACTTAGAGGCATACAGAAAACCGGTCACACCCCATCACATAGCAGGTTACCCATTGATATCCAATTACTACACTCCCTTTCACACCTTTTAGATGCGGGCCCGTTTGATCCCCACACCGACTACGTTATCAAAACAGCTATCTACCTGGCTTTGTACGGTTTTCTTGTTTTCTTAGACCGCGTGAATTTATAACAACTTCCACGACCAACCTGCAATACTGCCTCAGGAAGTCTCATCTAGCTAAATTGGGGGATTATTATGTTCTAACACTTCCCCACACTAAAACCACACAGGATGGTCAAGACGTTAACATACCCTATTACCCGACAGGTAACAAATGGTGCCCAGTTAAGATCCTAGACACCTTTCTTCTGACCTATAACATACAAGCTTCCCAACCACTGTTAACTTTACATGGGTCAGTCCTTACCACAACTAAATTTATGACTTATGTCCGATCATTGATCACCAGGCTAGGTCTTAACCCTTCTGACTATTCTGGCCACTCTTTCAGAATAGGGGCGGCTTCCACAGCCTCTAGCAGGAACATTCCTGTACATATAATCAAAACCCTAGGTCGCTGGAAGTCCTCTGCATAATCTTTGTACATACCACAACCAGTACAGGAACTCAGACACACCTTCCATACTATGTCTATGTAATACTTGCTCTTCTCTTGTTGATTGTAATAAATTCTAGTCCGTATCTATTTTTTGCCCTCTTTATTTACAGGCCTACTGCTACGTTGGTTCCGGCAACCGACTTGCCCTCTTCTTACACCTTTGCTATACCTTCATACTCTCCTTATACTCTTGCCTCGGCTTTTATGCCCCTACCACAACTAGTGTTTAGATTAGCATTGCACACACCAAAGTAACTGATTGTCTAC